TAAGGACAGGGAGAGATCATTCAGTAGTTATTGTCAGGGGCAAAATAGATTCAGCTTGGGGAAATTAGTTTAATTTCTTGCCAGTCAAAAACGGAGTAGGATAATGAGAAATAAAACCACATCTTAAAGCACCTTCCCTCTACCCTTCCCTTTTTCCTGTGCTCAACTTTGCTCCCAATTTCTCTACCACATCCCCCTCGAGTGGCATAAAGGGACAGGGAATGGGGGTTTTAGGGTTGTTTTTTTTTTTTTTTATTAATTTATAGGATCTTACAGAGGTAAACGTATACTTGTGTAATGCAAGCTAAAGATAGGTTCAATATCATACAGCTTTTTTCCTTCCCTACTCTGATAATTCATCACAATATAATTTGATTGCTTCTCTTGCAAGCTAGGACTGGCATTAACTGTGTGTGGTAGCACATTACAGAGAAGCTCACCATTGACTAGTGCTGCATTTTGTTAGAGCAAACTGAAAACACCAGAATACTGATAGAAAATAATTCTGCATGCTGTTCTTGCCTGTTCAGCTGCAAATTTAGTGAACTTGGTTGATAGTATTTGCTTTGGCTTGAAATATAGTTACTCCCATGTGAACGTTGTACTAAAAAAATTCAGCTGCATGCATTGGGGCTAGTTGCCTCTCTTCTGGGTGCCACAATGCCATTATTTTTTCAGGTCCTGAGATCATGAGCAAGCTGGCTGGTGAGTCTGAGAGTAACCTGAGGAAAGCCTTTGAAGAAGCAGAGAAGAACGCTCCTGCCATCATCTTCATTGATGAACTGGATGCCATCGCTCCCAAGAGAGAGAAGGTAAAGAAAGCCTGTAGAAGGTAGAGTAGTACGTCGTTTTTTGGTAGCAGCTGGTGTGAATCTCTGCATTTGACTACAGGGTAAAGCAGTATTTAACTTGACGCTTGAATTCAGTTGGGCATCAGAAGTTGGATATCAGAAGAATCCAATATAGTTCATGATGTTTCTTAACAGCTCATGTCTGTTGTATCTGTCTGCTCTGGTGCAGTACTAGCTCCTGTGCTGTATTTTAGAGCTTTTGGTCTAATCATTACTTTCTCTCTTCATAGACACATGGAGAGGTAGAACGTCGCATAGTGTCTCAGCTGTTGACTCTTATGGATGGACTGAAACAGAGAGCACATGTGATTGTTATGGGAGGGACCCAAAAACCCAACATATGTGATTGTTATGGCAGCTACCAACAGACCTAACAGCATTGACCCAGCACTCAGACGATTTGGTAATCATGGTTGCCATCTTTTTTTTTTCTTTTTTGTGTGTGTGTATCAGATACTTTGTTATGGGATATACTTCAGGAGCCTTGGAAAGCTTGAGCAGAAATTAATATTAAACATATATTCTGTGTTACATAAACTATTGACTTGTCTCCAGCTACTTGTTTGAAATTCATTTCTAGGTTTCCAGCCTTTGGTATCATTTTCTGTGCTTTATTAGGTTAGAACTTGTAGAAATAACAAAATACTTTAGAGAGTAGCATGCTTTTTCACCTCATCAATTAGGTGAGGCTATTTCAGGACTAAACACTTAAGGGGTTGTTTACGCCTCAGGTTGCAGAAGGCTCTGAATTCTTCAGTTTCTCTTATTGGTGAGAAGTCTGATAGTTTCTGAGATTCAAGTTTTCAAAACTTTGCCGTGTGGATGAATATCTGTTGTATGACCAGTTGGTAAAGTCTGTAATAGCAAACTAGTCAAGTCTGCAGGAAAAAATGGCCTCTTAAATGTGTAGTGAGGCCTTTGAATGCACAGCTATAGCTAGAGGAAAATAATAGGTGTACGTATCTTAGTTAATATTGCAGTAATACATAGGTTTCCTGCCTCCCCAGATATTGGGGCAGTTCATGTTTTTCACCACTTGGATACTGCTATGAAAGTTCTGAAAACTTAAATCTCTCAGCATTTGTGGACTCCTGTGCTGAGGACACAAAGGTAGGAATAAACAAAAATGTCTCATGGTGTGTTGGTTAGGGAAAGCATATTTTCCTATAAATGAGGTTCAGAAAAAACAGAAATCCTCTGTGCTTTGTACTCCTCAGGTCGTTTTGACAGAGAAGTAGATATTGGTATCCCAGATGCCACTGGGCGCCTGGAGATCCTGCAGATCCACACAAAAAATATGAAACTGGCTGATGATGTGGATCTGGAACAGGTGAGTAGCATGCTATTTAGGAAAGCTTTCTCTGCTCACTTAGGATAGTGTGAAACTGGGCAAATGTGTCATCTCTGGGCTTCCTTCTAATTAGTTTACCAGTGACCAAAAATCCTCACTCACTAGTGAAGAATGGCATGGCTAAGTGAAACAAATGTGTATCAGTCTAGTCTGGAAGTGCCTTGCCATTGTCCTCCTGGGTTTGTTTGCTGTGGCATTCTCTTTAAAAATAAAGCAAGCCCAAAACAGTGCTCACAGAGCTAGGTGAACATTATGGCGATACTGGATGGTTACTGTAATCTTTGTCCTGAATGAAGAACTGCAGTTCTCAGGGTTATCTTTCTGCATACCATGTGAATCCCACTTGTAGCTTTGATCTTAAGTAGGAGGTGAAACAGTAATGTCTTTGCCTGTTAAATGTGATAGCACTTGTCTTGAATTTGCAGCAGAGCACTGATGTTCCTGTCCTCCAGAGTTTTGTTGCACCTCTGAGTGACCAGAGCATGCATTGCCCTTGCAGAGTGCTTGCTTGTATTCCTGTGAGTCATAGTCAGTGCTCTGCTTTCAGGTGGCAAACGAGACCCATGGACATGTTGGTGCTGACTTAGCTGCTCTTTGCTCAGAAGCTGCTCTTCAGGCTATCAGAAAGAAGATGGATCTCATAGACCTAGAAGATGAAACCATCGATGCTGAAGTGATGAACTCACTGGCTGTGACCATGGATGACTTCAGGGTAATGCAGGAGTGCGCCTCTTTCTTTTGGGTGCAATGTCTAATTGCTTATATGAAGCATGTGAACATAACGTGTTATAATTCATATAATGCTGTTTCTTCTAACGATAGTGGGCTCTGAGCCAAAGCAACCCTTCTGCTCTTCGGGAGACTGTGGTGGAGGTGCCACAAGTTACCTGGGAAGATATTGGTGGTCTAGAAGATGTAAAGAGAGAACTCCAGGAACTTGTACAGGTAAGGGTTTCTGACAGATTTTTGCCTAGTTAGCCTGAAAAATAATAAAATCCAGAACCTCTTCACATTCCTGTTTTGGGCTGTTAACAGGGTAAACGCAGAGTTTTTATGGTACTTTCTTGTAATGGACTGAAAATACCATGCTGTTTTATCTTAGTGAACTTAGGGAAAAGAAGGTGCTGGGAAGCAACATCAGGCTTTCCTTAGCTGAGTCTACAGTGACATCTTGGGGGTGGGTGTCTTGCTACATGCAGAAACAGCAGCAGTTCTGCTTCTCTTAAGTGGAGACCAGGAGTGGGGCCACTGCTGAGAATCCTGTTTACATAGTGGCTTTATATGTTAGAAAGCAGATGAAGATTCTCATACAGAGAGCCTCTGAAGGGCTTTCCATCAGTGTTAGCAATAGGACAGGTGAGAAATAATTATGAAGCCTTCTATGAAAGGAGAGGCTGGAACAAAGTCACGAATGGTCTGTGGAAACTTCTGGTGCCAGCCTGTGTTGGGGTGGTTTGGGTTTGATACGTCCTTGCTTTCAGTTGGCACTGTCGAAACAGCCTGTCTGTGAATAAAAAAAAAAAAACAACAAAACTACTTTTCAGTCTAACTTTCTGGTGTTAAAATCATCGCCTATCTCTGACCTTGTTGCAGAGGATAAATGCTCACATCGGACATCTTGCCTGTCTCTGGAGGGCAGAGCATATAGGTTAGATAATGAGCTGTTCCCTCTTGTTTCTGCAGGGTAGAGTGAAGCTGGGGTTAAGAGTTCTGGAAAACTACCTGAACTGGTATTTAGTTCATAGGTGGAAATAGACTAAGGCAGCTTTACAATTTAGCTGTGGTGTTTTTCAAACCAGTGCCCATTTAAAAACTCCAGTGGCACCAAGAAGGCAGAATCTTGTGTTTAACCCACCAGAAATCTCAGGTAGTGTTT